CACGGCCACAGGACAGGCAGGGACAGGACAGGCAGGGCCTGGCAGAGCACACCCCTGGGGAAGGGTCCCATGAGAGAAGCAGCCCAAGGAAAGGTGTTTGTGAGCACAGACACAGCTGACATGAGAGCTCTGGCTGGAGGTGATGGGGAAGCTGGGGAGGTTGACTGGGCACTGTGCTTCTGAGGGGCACTGTGCTCCTGAGGAGCCCTGACACCCTGCACCCTTGGTTGTCACTAATGCAGACTGCCCAGCACAGGAGGAGCAGCAGTGCCCAAGGGCACCCCTGTCCCCAGCCAGCCACGCAGGCTGGAGCAGTGATGAGAACTCGGGTTCCCCCCCAGGGTCCCCCTCCTGCCCATCACCATCCCCTGCACCCTGCCTACGCCCCGGGGCCGGCGCTCCCTCCATACAGACGCACCGCACCGCACACACAGCGTCACAAACAACCATGCATTAGAAACTGAAATGCTGCTGGGAGGCTCCGGGGCTGCGTGGTTTGCTCCAGTGCGGCTGCGGCCCCACGGCACACGCAGCTCCGTCCATCGCACACAAACAGTCCCGTGGGGTGAGTCTAGCCGAAAATGCCACCGAAGGTGGAGGCGATGACGATGCCCAGGATCACACAGCAGATAATGATCATGATCTTCTTCTGCTCAGGTGTCCCAGCACCGGCAGGGAGAGAGGGGAAAGGGGACTGTGAGTTTGGGGGTCATGCCAGTCCTGAGAGCTTGGGGCTGCACTCTGCCCCATTCCCGTTTCCTCGTGGTAGGCTATGAGCAGCACCCTGGGAGCCAGACAGGCAGGGATGGGCACTCCAGCTCTCCCTTCAGCCCTGGGCTGGCAGAGCCGAGCTGGTGGCTCCCAGGTCCCTGAGCTGCTGAGCTGTTACAGGACCAGGAGCTGCCTCTGCACTCAGGGTCAGAGCTGGACCATGCCTGTTCTCTACTGTTTTTTTTGTCAAGGGATGTGGCTCTCACAGCAGGCCTGGCCCACAGGATCCATCCACCCTGTCCCCTTTCCTCCCCCCAAGCAGCACCCTGCCCCATGGCTCGTTGGCATTGCTCACACAGCTTGTGCTGGGGAGCTCTGCCTCAGCTGGTGACGCCAGTGGCACCTGTGCTGCACCCAGTGGCGTGGGGTAAAGCAGAGCCCCGGCACCTGTGAGGCTGTGCCATGCTGCCCGATCCTTGGGGCAGGAAGGGGCCTGTCCCCGGGGCAGAGGAGTCAGCAGTGCAGGCAGGGGAAGATGGGCCCCAGCCAGTGCCGTGACTCACCCGTCTGGCTTTGCTCTGGTACTTCACTGCTTTTTTGGTGTCGGACACAGCCCGCTCCACGTAGTCCACTGAGTGCTCCACGTTGTACTCAATGCGGTCAATCATCTCACCCTGCAGAAGAGGGACAGAGCCCACGTGCCCACACGCACGCAGACGTGAGCTCCTTCCCGCTCTGCTGCTCCCCAGCACCATCTGGACGTTGCCCTGCCCAGCAGCCCTGTGTGAGAAAGAGGGACCCTCAGTTGAAGCAGGTACTGGGTGCCCCAAGGTGCCCTGGAGTGGGGGCTTTGTCCCAGAAGGGCTGGGACCTCTGTACACATCCCATCAGGGAGGCAAGAAAGGGTGAGGGTCAAGGGGGTCCCCAGCCCAGTCTTGGCCTGGTAGCTGCCCTGTCCAGTATCTCAGGTGACATCAAAGCCACAACAGGATCTACACTGACACCACACTGCTGAAACCAGAGGCACGGCGGGGGAGCAGGGACCGCATCAGCAGTGCCACGTGGGATGCTCACAAAACCATGCACATGCAGGGACAACCAACTGCTCTGATCTGCACCAGCACCCTGCTGAGAGTGGAGGGCCCCAGGGTGACGCTGGCAAGGACTGCAGAGCCCTGGCAGAGCTCCTGCCCTGCTCTGCCCCGCTGGCGCAGGGGAGGCGGACTGTGCAGACATGGGGACACAGGCTGGCGTGAGCTCCCCCAGCCTGTCCATGTTCTTTGTCCCCATGCTGAATACACAGGGAAGCAGTCAGAGGCAGAGCCTGGCAGTTCATGTGACTGACAGGTTTGAGAGGGTGGATGGCTTACAGCCCAGTACCCTCCTGCATAGCACAGAGGGGCTGCAGAGCCAGAGGGTCCTGGTCAACAGCTTTGCAATGCTCGTTTCTTGGCCTAATGCTGGAGAGCAGGGGGTGCTACCCCCAAAGCACCGACCCCCACCAGGCTTCCTGCTGCTCCCTTGCCTTGCCTAAAGCTGCTGCTTCTCCTTCCCACCTGTGCCCTGCCTGGGGCAGAGCAGGCAGC